TGTCCGTTTCTGTCGAAACACCATTGGCATCGCCTGTGACATAAAAGAAATGTATATCCAGCTAAAGATTTAAGAGCAGCAACGATACCACTTCCGATTGTTGCGCTAAGATCTTAACCCCAACCGAGAGGCAGATGTATTCGAGTTTAACCATGTAGTTTTTGGAAAGAATGCCGCCCCTATGGAGTTGCAGTTTGTTGCGCAGGAAAATGCTCGACGAAACCAAGACCATTATCTCTTTGCCGCTGAGATCGTCCTTAAGTCAACCTATATGGACGATTCTATTGACAGTGGCGAAAGGGATGATGATGGAGTGGAGCTATACCGTCAATTGAAGGCAATATGGGAATTCACCGGCATGCGAGCTAGGAAGTGGATCTCCAGTTCACCGAAAACTATACAAGCGATGCCGTCTGAGAAACGCACCACAGAGAATGTGATTGACAGCGGTCGAGAGCCGATAATGAAGACACTGGGAATTTCGTGGAACAGTACTGAAAACGTGTTTACCGTTGCCGCTTCTCCGGTTTCCCCAGAATTTCAGACAACAAAGCGAAACTTCCTGCGTAAAGTAGCAACGATTTGGGACCCACTGGGATTCGTATGCCCGTACGTTATTGTGACGAAAATTGTACTTAGAAAGCTGTGAATGCAAGGCTATGAGTGGAACTACGAAGTTCACGATGAAATAGAAAAAAAAGGGGGCTTGGTTCGAGCAGTTGAAAAGTCTGCATGAGCTGAAGATTCCTTGGTATCAGCGAGGTCCAGAGCCTGCCAAGTCGAAGCACATTGTGACTTTTGTCGATATATGCCTCTCAACAAGCTTATGGTGCAGCAGTCTATATCAGCTGCAGATACAATAACGATAATACAATACGCTACAGATACAATAACGATAATACAATACGCTACAGATACAATAACGATAACGCGAGTCACGCTTGAGGGGAGGGGTGCGAAAAAGTAACGCTATTGTTCAAGCTGTCTCTGTTCTTCCTCTACTCAATTGGCTACTCAGTATCATGTGATCATCGAATTTTTTTCAACCGCAGCGTGCCGGTCGTGGCAGGCTGTTTTATGGTCGAAGCTATTCGAGGATCTCTTCGTTTAAGTTAAGATGTCGCTAAAAATCAGACAAATTCACAAATAACCGTCAACAGTCAAAAAGACTGTTGCAGGTAAATGCACACGTTTTGAAGTCTCCAGATCCAATTTTGTTTCTATTCCATCAGACCGGTCTGGTCCTTTACAATCGTAACAGAAAGTTGAGAGATTAATTCCGCGATAATACTCTGGAATAGCCCAACAAATTTTTCTCCCCATACGCTTACCTTTATCCACTCTCCCTCTATACAATTTTTCTTTTTTTTTTTCTGAGATTGAACATATTTTAAAATATGAAATTTAAATTTGTAAATACCTCCTCAAAAATGGCTGAATTGACAAGTTTTTCGGGAACTTTATCTAAGCTTTATATTTACGACTGTAGTTCGTTTGGTGAGCATCCGCAAGTCGCCGATTACAGGTCGTGTTGAAGTACGGCACAGAGGTAGATGGGGAACCATTTGTGGCGTCTCTTTTGGCTTAAAGGACGCTGATGTAGTTTGTAATGAGCTTGGACACGATGGAGCTCTAATGTCAATGTGTGCAGGAGCATTTGGGCCAGGAACTGGTCCAATATGGCTGTATGACGTGAAATGTGTGGGAAATGAGACATCGATAAAACAGTGCAAGCACAGTGGCTGGGGGCCATTTTGGGACCCGCCCATTTATGGGTGTGACCATATGAATGACGCTGGTGTGTTCTGCCGAGCTAAAGGTACAGTAACCATACGAATACTCTTTGTTATCATCTTTATTAAGAATGAAAATAGAGGTAATCAGAATATAAGGGCGCCATAGCGTATTCGACAGTATTACAATTAACTTTTCTATTATGGAGGATGGGAAGCCC